GAAGGGTTTAGCCATCACAGTTTCTTACGTCAGATTTGGGTAGTTTGCGTGCACAGATGTGATGGATGCACACGAGCTGTGCAAATCTATTGGGTTCAAGAAAGACGAATATATTGCGAGTCGCAAGTCTTCCTTATTGTTAACACTCATCTTGGAACTCACGTTCTAGATCCGTGTGTAATGGTGCCCGGTCGCATATAAGCAGACACTTATCAGTAACATCGGTGCCGTTGGCATCACGCATTTTGAACGGCACTGGATACTAAACCGGATCTGCCTTATCGCACACATACACGACTGTTTGAGCACCACTTATGTACACCCCCAAAATCAATGTCATTCGGAAGCGACAGAGTACATTGCCAGACAGTTCATCCTCCGTGGTATGGCCCACTTTATCAGTTCAACTGACTCACGGGATGGTTGGACATTTCCCAATGCTTTTTTATGCCAACCATGTGGCCAAATGATTGAGTGGACCAAGTGGTGAACAGGGCTCGCACCTCGTCCATCCACAAAACTCTAATGAAGTCCCGGTGAATCCGTTATTACGTAACCGTAGTCGGAAACTGCTTGCCATCAGTGAGGCTTCGTTGATAAAGACAATTCGTCGGGTGTCCTACGCACGCAAACTACTGATGCAATCGATAAGACTCCATCCGCTTTCGATTGCACATTATCTATCACTCGCCAGTGTGCGCAACTGCGCTAGTAGGGCACCTACCTATGTAACTGAAGTTCTCTTCTTAGCTTGATGAAGGGGACTCAATGTTTTACATGATGAGTTTCGCCCATGTGGAGAGTTGGTTGGCATGGAATTTGGGTTAGTGGCGCCAGAGCGGCGGTGAAAAGGTGTGGACTGCTGCTGGTTTCTGGGTCCGGCATGCCCACTGGAAGGTCAGCGCTTGACGGATGTGGCGAGTCGAGTCAGGTTGAGTGCACGCGTGCTGCAGCTCACCGAGATTGCACTCGCCTATAGCCTTTATTGCACCGCTGCTCCTGAGGATTGTCTCAGAGCGTTGCCTCATGGTTCCCAGTGCGTTTGCTAATCGAGTGCACTTGCAGACATTTACCCATCCATGTACGTGGTTTTACTTTGCGCGCAATCACTGCACAGTGCGAGCAGCAGAGGAGGCGTGACGTGAGATTGGGTGCCGCCGAATTACCTGTCTATAGCTGCTGAGTGTAAGGAATCGTCGGTTTGATGGACAAAGACAGCATTGGCAAATAAAATGCAATGCGCTGTGTGGTCATGCTAATTGCGGGAAGGCACTGCTGTAACTGTGAACCGGGTAACGGGTTAGTGACACTGCGTGTTCTGCTCTGTATGCAATTAACTTATGCTGATGGGGTTTGCACACGGCGGACTGGCGCATTGCCTATGCGGGGTTGGTGGAAATGCGAGTCCGTACGCCACAATTGCACAACGGAACCGTGCTGGGTAAAAGTTGTATGATTGGGTTGTGTTTGAATCTTGTATTAACTATCCACTGTTTTTTCTCTGATTGGCTCATCGGATGACTTTTGCGTACTTGTCCGCGTTTCGCAACACATGCTTCAAGGAAACAACCTCCTAGCTCCTGACCACAGTGGCTCTGCCTACATGTTGAATGTTTTCGCCACATCGAAGACAATATGTTCCTCACTTACCCAACCGGTAACGCGTGGTTCACTATCATTGCGAGCACTGCACCTGCCATGGTAATTGCTATGATTTATTAGCAGTCGGGATGCGACAGCCGCGTCGGCGAAGTGTAAACACAGTTATATAACTACGGAGATTACGGTTGCCGATAGTACGTCATAGTGTTGCCCAAATTGGAGAGCTGTAATACACAAGGCAACCTTACATGGCTTTTCAGCAAAAATATTAGTGGGATCGGAACGGATAGCTTAATCTCTACGCTACGAGCAACGAGTGGTAAAATATCGGAACAGCTTCCCCGAGATTATAGTGGAAGCAAAACCGGTATTAAAATTCAAACAATTCCTAAATGTTCACTTTGCGTACATAAAGCATAAGGCGCAGCTGCAATATGCTGCAAACGCCCAGGAAGCAGTGATGTGATTCCGCGCACGTACCCAATCGAACTACGATGGATTAACACAGATGTAGCACCAGCAGTATGCCGGTACGCAGTACCGACACTTCGCTGCCGCGCAACCACCATCGGCCACACGTGGGTTAAGGATAGTGAGAGGATCGCCTGGTCCCTACGCAGACTCGAACCCGAGCCTTCGGGTTACAAAACAAGCTCGTTACCTTTAGGTTACGGACCGGCATCCAGTCCTATTGAAGAATATTTATGATCTTCCAAGTCCGATCCGCTTGTAGAACAAACATAACTTACGGAGTGTAGTGGTTAATACGCGTACATGCAACTTTCAAACGGGAGAGACAGTATCGAGTTGGCAACTAGCCCACAAAGGCGAAGACCTGCTAGATCATGACGATGGGATTAGCGCCGGTCCATAAGAAACGATCGCACACCGAGATGATGAACAGGCTAGCTTTCACAAAAAGCCTCCAACAAGTGAATATAAGGCACTTCAAGAACGCGCGCTTTCATATTACTTTAGAAACAAAGGCTAAACATTAGCGCTTTTCTAGTGTTACCCACGAGTTAAAAGTCTCAACTGTTTCTCTAGAGCGCTTTCGTCTCAAAGTAACCCATGTTTGCTACAGGATTCCTTCGGTCCAAAATGGGGTAGAATTTGGTACTATTTCTCTGCAGTTATCGTTGCCACTACGCTTCTCTATACGCAGATGAATAAGACCTGAATTCCAAAGTTTTGATTCCTCTATTGCTGACTTGTCTTCAGTCTTACCGTTATACTACAGATGTCCGAGCCAAAATAACCGCGAAGCAACGGTCCATGCATTCAGTCTAGTGCCTACATATACAAACTTCCTACCTGAAACTCATGGCTTCTTTCATTCCATTATGTTTCGGGTGTTCAGCTATAGTTGACTTCCCTATATCCGTTTTCCTAAAAATACACCCAATATTATCATCAAAATAGTGCGCAACATGGCACTGGATCTATTGGGTTTTAGTGTTGGTAGGCATCAGCAGTACGCCGTAAGGCAGTACCGATGCTTCGCTGCCGCGCAACCATCAATAGTCGCCCGTGAGCTAAGGATAATGCGAGGGTCGTCTGGTCCCTACGAAGGCACGAATCCGTGACTACAGGTTACAAGGCAGGCTTGCGATCCTTAAGGCTACGGGCCGGCTGGTGTTGACATCACAAAAAACACTCAGGGCTGAAAATGAGTGAAGAGCTAGCAGTAACGAGACTGCATGTAGACGTAGGTAGCGTATCAGTAGTAGACCAGTACTTCGCACTGATCTTTTGCTGCTATGCAACCGCAGGCAGTCGTGGACATAAATATGGCTTGAACCAATGGCTACCGGGTCAGCCAGTGAGTAGAGTTCAGATGCTTCTAATAAGATGGAATACATTTCACTAAAATTGAACCATCTAACAAAACACTGCATGCTTTGATGCTTTGCACTCAGGCTTTTTGGTCAACATCCTAGGATGAAAAAACTAAAAGTTCCTCTATCCTGACCTGCACGCGTTATTTTTGTCTTAGGTCAAACAAAGCGTCAGTATGCATCGTCGGTCAGGTGGTTTGTACGCAGTCGCCTTATCCGCATCAAACAGCAAGATAGAAGCCAAAACAGGTTGCTATTTATGCCTTTCAAATTTCATCCTCTTGGACAAGGAAGCGGGATTTCGTTTGTAGGTTTACTCGGTGAAGTGTAACGATTGTCTGTTGACAATACATAGTTAACTACTCTGATGAAATGATACGAAGTGTACCCATTCGGAAAACAGGATTGTTTAGGTAGTTTCAAAATTCGTTACGGCCTCAGGTGAACTAGTATAGATCATTGTGCACAGAGAAAGTAGTAACCCCCAGATTAAAAGTTCACGCCGGCGTCTATCATGATTCAAAGTACTCACTTGTTCCAAATCCGTAGGTGGAAGGTCACTTCAGTTTTCAATGATGAAGAAACCTGTGAAACTCCTGTATAGTTCCGACGGAGTTTTGGCATGGTAAGACAATGAAGGGGTTTTCCCCATTTTACTGCAGTTATAAAGTCGAAAGCAAGGTGGGAACTTGGTGTTCCCAATGCATTAATGTCCCAGAAGTATTCGGTCGATAGGCTATGTGAATACCCATATGTGCACAAGAAAAAAGCAAGATACGGGCATACAGCTGAGCTGACAACCCAATAGCCCTTGGTATGTAGGAAGATACACTATTAACGTGTGATCGGTTTGTGTTGGCAAATTCCCCAACACCGACATGTCTGCCAACGCAGTATAAATCCACGGAAAAGGGCATAACCGCTGTAGCAAGCTAGTATAATGCTGGCAAGCGGCACCGAATTTTGAAGCTCGGGTCCTAGTTAAACGCGTTGGATTGAGTATTTACAGCATATCCCATATATTGGTGATGCCGAGATACAACAAATGGCTATAAAGTGCCAAAGGGTGGTTCACATTACATTTCCTAACGAGGGGAGGTGGGACGATTGGCATATTCCATGCTCGCTTTAGATGTGGTGACAAGTAGGATTGAAAGGTTTACGTCGCGCAATGCATCGACCCACAACAATGTCTGTTGTTGCGACCGGAAATATTTCAGTGACGGATTTCATCAAACAAACGTGTGCATGAGAGCAGACTGCCCCAATGGTGTCTCTAGTCGGAGAAAATCAGTGAGCCAATTTTCTGCTTCCAAGTCCATTCAGCCACTACAACATCGACGTTAGTCCACTGTAAAGTAGACGTTGCAATACATGAACCAGATTGACCTAGTTAGCCTGCTGAGACAGTAAACATATATGCACAAAGGTTTACCTAGCAAAGAAGACACGGAAACTTTCACAACGAAGGAAGCTAAACAAATGAAGCGGAGCCCGCTACAACAGAAAAAGCTGTAGATAGGAGCAATAACCGAAAACAATAACGCCAAGAAACTGTACCGGCTGGAAAACTCCTTGTATACATGCATCAGGTTCACTGCATCCAAATTGGAGACTTTGACGAACTTATTGACTCCATTAAGTAAAACGTTTTGGTGAATCATTTCGACGGCCCTCTCATCCAAATCGTTACAAACTATTTCTCCGATATTAGGAACTTCCAAAGCGAACCGAACGGATCGTATGCCAGAACCACCTAAAGCTTCTAGAATTCGTAATCCACTGTATTGGGACTGCGAAAGCCGGGAAGGCGAGTTCAAGCGCTTTTCGTTCTTCATTAACCACTCCTTTTTGTGAACCTTCTGAAACCACTGCAAAACGGCGACCGTAAGATCACGATTGAATTCCTGAACGCGATTGTAAAAAACGCCTTCTGGTAGCTTAATGCGCGCACTTCCTTCTGCAATTACATTCGCAACCGCATCAGTCATTGCAGCCACTGTGGAACTGTAGTATGCGTGCAGTCGTGGATTCCGAGGGCTTCCGTGTCCAGCGTGTAAGTAGGTTGTAATAGACCAGCGGAACTGCAATGGAAAGCAAATACCTCGTAGGTGGCTGAATGCTCATATCACAAACACCTAGTAAGAGACCACAGTAGATCGAACACGAAGGTAAAGAGGAAGAAAAAACGGCCGTCTAGCAGAGGTGCAATGATCTCCTTACCTCAGGGATCATTGCAAGGTCATGCTCGGTCTTGCTAGAAAGGCGCTGTCATCAGCTCCTACAGTACTACTAGTTGACCTCGATCTGATGATGTGAAAAACTGATGAATGCAGTGTGCTCAGTTTGAGAGATTCCGCGACAAGCAGTGGGGTCACAGAAAGGTCAATAATAGCCACATAGGCAACGATCCAGCTTTAGGGACTGCTGTCAAGAGCAGGCAGGATCGCCGAATATGTAATATGCGTCTGGTTGACGATCTGCTGATGTGCGAAACAAGCGGTAAACGCGGTGTGCTAGATTCGACAGATTCCCCGGCAAGCAGTATGGCCAGAAGGAAATTAATGGTCGCCTCGAAGGGCAACGATGCAGATTCAGAGACTACTGTCGGGAGTAGGGCGCTGAAACGTAGCTTCTGCACCTGGTCGAAAGAGATTGCAACTCGTCTCTTCACATCCATTGTACGACCGGTGCTAGAATACGGCTCACCCGCCTACTGTCCGTTGACGAAAGGCGAGATACACAAGCTCGAAAGAGTACAACACAGCCACACGGCTCATTCCCGGTCTTCAGGGTGTGCCGTATGAAGAAAGATGCAGACAATTGGGTCTGTATACTCTAGCCTACCGCCGCGTGCGAGTGGACCTCATCATGACCCATCGGGTATTGCATCTGGGTGCTTATCCGATGCTGAGGCCACTGCTCCATGTCCGTGCGTCAAGCAGCACACGAGGTCACCAGTACAAACTGGTAGTCCCTGACCTCAAGTGGGTAGCTCATCCCTTGTGTCTTGAGCGGCGAGTGGTGAACATGTGGAACCGTTTGCCCTCGCGGATAGTAGAAGCGAACTCGGTGTCGGAATTCAAACGATTCCTGGACGCGCACTTTGCGGATGCCAGATTCGACGAAGCCTTCACAGGAAACTGACGAAGGAATCGTTCAATGATTATAACCCATGGCGCCCGTTAATCCACCAACTGCAGCTTCCGAAACGATGCCCATCCGTAATAGGCGGCGGAGCTGGTGAAGGACTCCATGTGGTTCATCCAAGAATATATCGTAAGTACATGGAGATTTTTTCTATGCTTGTAAATATTTTACTTTTTTCACCTGGGCTAGCTCACTACTACAGGTAACACTGTGTCAGTGGGACATGTCCTACATTGAGATATAGCTGGGCGCTATCTGTCGTGAGTAGGCAAGGACGCTAAATGTGTAACATCCCTCTGGTTTACGATCAGGTGTTCAAAACAAATGAGGGGCAAGGTATAGAAGTTTCGAGAGATTCCACGACAAGCAGTATGGTCAGAAAAAAGTTAATGGTAGCCTCAAAGTCTAGCGTTGCTAGACAAACATTCGCTGAGAATGCTGGAATCTTGCGGCTGCCAGTGCAATTGCGACGGAGCCTCGAAGAACGTCTTAATGCAACGACACGCATCAAACCCAGGATAATACGTAATCGAGGGGGCTGACAAGGGATTTCCCTCCAGTTCTCTACAACTCAATGAACTCAGTGAAGGACCCAGCTTCAAGGACTGCTGTCGGGAACTGGGAAGGTTGCTGAATATGCATTATGCGTGCGGTTGTAAATTCCAAGAGCTTCCGTGTCCAGCGTGTACGCGTGTCGTAATAAACCAGCAAAGATGCAATGGAAAGCAGACACCTCGTGGGTGGCTGCATGCTCATATCAAAACCACCTAGTAAGAGAGTAAATCAAACGAGGCAAAGATAAGAGTATCAACGGGCGTCTGAGATACAACGTTCTCCTTACCTTAGAAAACACCGCAAGGTCACGCTCGGTCCTGCTAAAGTAACAAGGGGAAACCGTTAATAATGTTGGGCCAGGAGCAACAGCGCGGAAAGCGGGACCACGCGCAACGAACCTCCGGAAAAGCAACATAGAGAGTAGCCAAACTCACATATTGGCGGGAAGCAATCTTGCGGCAGACATGCGGCGGTACAACTTCACACGATAGATTTCTGTAACAGCAATGATTAATTTGTGTAAGCTAACTAAATAGCAAAAACGTTTTCATAAATATAAATTAAAACAATCAAGCACGAACGTTTACATTGCGTATAAAATATGGATAGGTGAGTTAGATAACTAGCCAACTTTAAAAATTATAAATAAATGAATAAACTAGAAAAGCAATCATATTGTGCAATTATTTGATTTCTTTCTGGTATTTTACATCAATGGTTGGCCATATTTTGCTGGGCGTACCCATGTAGCGACCTGGAGATTCCCCCGTATGACTGTGTAAACCTATTCTACAATATTCAAAATCAGTAGATTTCTTAAGTATTAGGGAAACTATTCGGTTGCCTGTTGGAACGTTGTTTCCCGTTTGTTGGAAACACGAAAACGATCTCCGCATTGGCGCGCGGCTAGACTGCGAACGACGCTCCGTCTACGCTTTCGACGCCAACGACATTATCCCTAGCAGCTCTCTTCCGGGTGGGCCTATTTTTAGCTTTATCTATCGCTCTTCTAGTCCAATAAACTACTTCCCTTTTTTAAGTTTGTGTCTTCTACCCACAGCTTTTGGTTGGCCGTCTAGCCGCGTACCCGGATGTATAGCGCACGATCAACGCGCTATACCCAGCCCAAAGATTTTACATTTATCCGCTCAGGAAATGTGTAGACCTCCATCCCACCCTATCAGAACTTTGCATGTAGAATGGAACAAATGCTGCAGTTTTCTGTTATCCGTAGCTGCAAAACGATTAGAGTCGGGTTGTTTTGAAATGGCAAGCAAAACTTGTAACAGTTTGGACTTGCACGTTTGCCGTATCCCCCATCGAGGCTTGTGGCCTGTAATCAGAATGCAGAACAGCTCATAGCGTCACACTACATTGTCTGGTATAGCTAAGGAAACAAAAAGTTTAGAAAGAGCAGATACCATTAGCATGCAACCCTGGAGCTTTGGGGTACAAGTGAAAAATTTTGGTGCATCAGATGATAAGCGGTCGGAAGTTGATTGGTACGAGTTTGGGTTATAAGATGCAGCAGAGTAAAAGGTGGTAACCTCAAATAGCGCGATGCAGTCCCGCATAATAATGGGTCTAGGCGAGTCTTGAATTTTTTCCCAGTAGTTGCCGAAGCAATCCGGGTTGGCATGGGCGGTCCACGGTCCGCAGACTCGCCGAGCGAAAAGTGTCGCCTGCAATCCCGCCTGGCTGCGCTGACGTGGGACCTGAAGTGGGTGCTCAGGAAGATGAATGCATAAGTTGTGCAGTTTACGCGATCCGCCTCAAGCGTGCTTAGGGTTACCTAGGGTTCTAATGACAAGGAGCAAAAGGCCCGTTATATGTATGTATATTATCAAGAATAGCCGAAGACGATGAAGCCGTTTTGGATAATCTAACTTGCGATGCACATAAACGTCCCGTTTTAGTTAAACAAGAAAATATACTGGCAGGTAGATGGAGTAGCAATGGGATCGCCTCACGTACCACTATTGGCAGTTGTTTACATAAGGGTTGCTAGAAAAGGAATCGCAGATACCGGTCATTACAAACTTCAAGTCCCATCGGCGTTACGTAGTCGACATTTTCTGCATAGTGGATCGGACGACCAACTTGCAAACGTCGTCGAACGTTTCAACGGTGCACATCCTGATTCTTCATGTACAGCTGAAAAGAAAAGCAAAACCAGCTGAACTTTTTGAATATAAATCTACAAAGCAGAGCGGACAGATCAAGCTGGTTAAATAAATAAATAAATAAACTTTTATTCTCGACAAGGCGAGGCACACCTTCCCAGTACAGATAGCCATATCAGCCGGGGCAGTATCTACATTTCCAAATCTTTGCTCCCCACCAGCAAAAGAATGCCTGTCCACTTACGTTGACGGCCCGCGCGCACAATAGCTGTAGCAAAGATTCGATTGAAGCCGAAATGGTACGAAGCATGTGCATAATACTTAAGCACCGCGATCCAAAATGCTTTATTGACATCCATTTGAAGTTTATAGCCCGGAAGCCAATAGTGCAAACAGCTGAGAAAAATGTAGTTGTCCTTCGTGGTTTCCTTTCAGGGTGGCAAAGCGACTTAGCTCTGCTCTCGGAGATTGACGCACGTCTGCAGGAATACCAGGGCAGTCGCAGTCAATGTGATCTGTACACGCTAATAGTTATTTGTCCCTTGGTTCAGACAAAGTGCCTGATTGTAACCAGGCAAATGTAACATACCGAATAACCTGCTGCTGTTGAGCTAGGTATACTGTATACACCACTAGGCACTTAGGAAATCGAATCAAGGAGCTCCTACCGCATTGGCTCACCAACCGCAGATAGAGGTCTAAGTTCAATTCTTAATCATCCCATTGTCATCGGGCACAACTCTGATGAAAGTAGTTACTGTGGTATACGGTTTAATCACCGCCAACCTTGACCCATCTGGTATCAGCTTGACTGTTTGCTACTGCTGAAGCAGTAAGCATAAACCCGCGGGGGCCAAAGCTCTGCATCCTGTAGAAGCACAGTAAAGCATGGTAACATTCATGGTCATCAAACACAGGAGAGGAATTTGTTGCCGCCCATTAATCCCACGTGTCGCCAAACACCTGATCTTATGACGCTTATCACCAGAACTGTTTAAGTTTCATTTTACTTAATCAATGGTGTGTCATTATGCTGTCCCCCAACCCTGCTTGTTAATAGGTAAATTTTATACTACGCCTTATGAGAAAGAAATGGAAAATAATTCTTCGCCCTAAGTGTTCTGCTTACGTTTCTTTTCGGGTTTGATAATCAAAAGTGTCTGAGACCTAGTATTACTTTCTTCACCCGACCGTGGGTCTTTAATCGTTCGCCGGTCGTTGCGAAACCAGGGGATGTATGCCAGGATAAGCAAACAAACCTGAGTGTGAAGCAAGGTATTTAGGGCGAGGCGGAAACTCAACAGGTAAAGTGTAATGAAAGCAAGTTTAAGTATTCGTAATATGAAGTTAGCAAGACAGCCTGCGTTCGGCTGGAAGCAGATGTAGGAAGGGTGCTTCTACTTATGATACTAAAGGTCTGTCGGCTAACGTGACCTGGGGAATGGGCGCCCTCGTGAATTATATTGGATGGCTGGTGTCATAACTGTGGAGTACGCGACATTCCGAATTCCGCATTTGTAAAAGCAACTGCCTCATACTACTTTCCTCCGTTTGATACACTAGCCGTATGCTTTGTGCTCCCTACCGTAATTTAAATTTCCGGTCTCTGAGTGCGGGTTACCTCTCGGCTTCCCAACCAAGGTTTTGGCCCATATTAACGTCTGCCTCACGCATTCGCATTCTTGCCAATTATATTCCCTATATGGAACCATTCTACTACTACTTCTTGACTACACCGTACACTATATTTTTCACTTCCCCCGTCCATCGAACCAATACTTGCCTTAGGCCACCAGCACCAGCTTCTAACCACTTGGTCCTCTAATGTTTTTTTCGCTCCTATGCTTAACCCTACTCTACTGTATATTGTAGCTGAGCTTTCCTCTGGACAAAATCGCAACTGTTCAACTATTACCAAGGTACCCTAGCGCCAGCGCAACCACCCAGTCCTCGTTAGATTCTGTTCACCACTGCGTCGCTTCTTCTTGATCCTTTTGGACCAGTCCGGCCTCTGAAGCTCTAAGCGCCCATAGGTCCCAACCAATGCCTCGAAGAACCACCTAGCATGTGCCCTACTTCCATTTCATCTTAACAGACTTCCATTACGACTATGATGACGCATCACTCATACCCATTCGACTTGGGAACATTTTTAGCCCTTCGCCTCATGCCCGATGACATTTGGGCCTTACATTCCTACCAACATCTCCTTTCGGATTCCGATTGTCATCCTCCGCTGTTTCTCAGCTCCATCTGTTTCAATCTAATATGTAGGCTAAGCTTTAGATGGCCTCCTAGCTCATACCTAATCCCCATTCCAAATTAACATTCTTCCAGTTGGCTCGTGATGCCGCATCGCTCACAACCATCCGACTTGCCAGGCTTTTCCTTTCTCCTCTTCATGCTTGAGGTCCCATCGGTCTTGCATTCTAAATGTCATGCACTTCCGGGTGCGGACAGTTTACGCTTCCTGCTCCCTATCTGCAACACCATACACAAGTATACCTGCTCAGTCTGGAGAACCATCTAGTCTGTGAACCATTAAATATCATCGTAACACGCTTCCAGTTGAATTGCAACGCCGCAAAACTCACAACCGTCCCACCAATCAACGTTTCGATCTCTCCACCTTATGCCTGCGGTCACTTTGACCTTACATTCTTATTAGTATCTACCTCCGTATTCTAAATGCCATCATCTGCTGCTTCCAAGCTCCGTCTGCTCCACGCTAGCATGACTGCTACGCCTTGAAGAACTGCCGAGGCCGTGCCCCAGTCCCATTTCATTTTTAAAGGCCTTCACTTGGATTGTGATGCCACATATCTCTCCACCATTAGAATTCCCAACCGCTTCCTTACTTCACCTTATGGTTGATGCATCTGCCGCCCTACATTTCTACTAGTAACAACTTCCAGCTTCCGTTTATCGAAGCCTGCCGCTTACTAGCTCAGTCTGTTTAACCCTTGTATGACTGAGAGTCATCGAAGAACCATCTACACTATGACCCCCCTCCACTTTCAGCTTAACAGACCATGCTTTGCATTGTGGTGCCGCATAACTCAAAAACATCCGACTGCTTGACGCTTTATATTTTGCCCTCACGCTTGCTGCTAAATCGACCTTATATTCTCATCCTTATCTCATTCTAGCTGGCGAATGTCTCCATCCGCTGCTTCTCACCTTTATACCTGTTTAACTCTAATCAATGATACGCCCCGAAGTGCCCTCTAGACTTTGTCTCATGCACATCTCATCATTACAGGCTACTAGTTCACTGCAGAAATCCACAATG